CAAAGCATGGATGGTTGAATCCGTGGATGAGGAATCCATGGACATGGAGATCTGACTGTATTGTTTTATCTGGTTGCCACCCTGATATCTCATGATAAAAAGGTGAGATAAAAGTAGTTTAATAAACAAAGAAATCAGTTCACCCATAGCAGGTGCATCAGTGCTCCCTGCCAACCCCACTGTCATGGAAATACTGGACCTACCTTCTGGTAAGCAGTGCTGGCCATTTCCATAGAACTTGGATTGGCAGTGGCAGCAGAAACCGGTGCTGTAATCGGTGCAAAAAGCGTGGGGGGAGCATTGGCTGTGGTGAGTCTCACAGGTCTCGAGGTTGGCAGCGCTATACGTGAACCCTGAATGGAAAGCACGACGGCAGGACATCAGAAAAGGCTAACTGCCCCATTCATTCATTCATCCACTATGTCTGTATATAGCCTCCCCCACCCCAAGTACCTTCCCAAACTACAAAGCTCAAAATTGTATATGCTGGTACTGCACAAAGTACAAATCCCAAGAATACATATGGTGGTAATCCCCCAAACTACCAATCCCACAAGTCTATATGGTGGCACTCCCCAAAACTACCAATCCCATGAGTCTATATGGTGGTAATCTCCAAACTACAAATCGCAAGAGTTCATATGATGGTACTCTACAAATTACAAATCAAAAGAGTTCATATGGTGGTACTCTTCAAATGACAAATCCCAAGGGTCATATGGTGGTACTCCCCAACAAATCCCAAGAGTTCATATGGTGATATCCTCAAACTACTCATCCCAAGAGTCCATAGGGTGCTACTCTCCAAACTATAAATCCCAAGACTCCATATGATAGTATTAAGTTGCTATAACTGCAGTACAGAGACATTGTTAGCATGTAAAACCAAGCACTGATCTCGAATAACTTATCCAGAACATTTAAAAAATGTACCTTTCTCAATCCAGATTTCCTTTCTCTCCCCCCACTCCCTTTTTTTGGGTTTATAATGGGTATGCTGCAAATTGCTTTTAATTCTATAGATAGCTTGATTACAATTTTTAAGTTTTTGGACTATGACCCTTCTTCACATTTGCGGCTTTGACTTTTGCAGCTTTGATTGATGAGAATGTTCTCTCTAGGAATCTCTAGGTCCTCCAGAGCAACTCTGCCAGATGTTGACCATAGAGTTGTGCTGGAGAACCTAGATGTTCCTAGAGAAACCACTTCTCTAGGCATTTGTAGGTCCTCCAGCATGAGTCTATGACCAATTTCTGGCAGATGTTGACCAGAGTTGCACTGAGGATCTCGAGATTCGTAAAGAAGTATTCTCTCAAGTAAAAAGAATAGCGATTTTTTATTTGCGTTTTTTCCACATTCACGGGGATTCTTCACCCCTAACCCCAGCGAATGTGGAGGGATCACTGAACATTTTTAGTTCTATCTGCTTTCACTTACGTAATTGAATCCTAGGAGTGGGGAAAAAGTCAGTCTGACCCCTGTATCCATAGGGGATCCATTCCCATGGGTACCA